CGACATACTGATACATCTATGTCATAATGAGACTCAGCGATGAAGGTTCGTATACATTCATAGAAAATCGGGTCAGATCTTCTTGAGGGGGGGGGGGGGGGTGGAAGGAAGGGGCATCCTGCACTTTTGCTTTCCAATCGTCGTGTCGAACGAGGTAGGGAAATGATCCACGAAATCTTGTGAAGCCATGAAAAGATACTAGTCAAATCTGTAGATACCACTTGCCCATTCTCGTGAAGCAATGCACGACGACTGGAAGAGGCGAAAGTGCAAAGGGACCCCCAAGCTAAGCCAAGCTGCGCCAAAAAGCGATTATCGGAAAAGAAGCTACTAAATATTTCCCTCTTTTTCTTAGATTGATGTTACGATGTCTGAATTACTACTTCTCAATTTCACCTCTTCCTTAATGCTATAGGTAGAGCTGTTCCTCACAAATGAAATGAACAAACTTTCCACATATATGGATTGGTTTTATCGAGAATCGATTTTTTCAGGTGGACCACTTCGACGTTACATTGGATAGAGGCATGAACGAGCCGTATATTGGTGGTGAAATTATAAAGGTCAGTGGTTTATCGTTGTTTTGATTTCTGGATTTTTATGTTAAAATTTTCTTCTTCATCTGTGAAAAGCTCTTCGCCATGTTGCACAACAGGTATACATTGGAACTCTCTCCACAATTCAGAATAGGAGCCCTATGCGCGGCGTATACCAGCGGTATTGTCAGCCTCATCCACCGATACCGGACCGATCATACTGTTGACCTAGTAATTTGCGTAAGCTAGCAGACTGAATCCACACTCCTCTGACAGGACCCTCTCTTCCCATCCTACCTTCCACTTTCCTGGAGTTCCTCAACTTTCCTACCACTTTTTCCAGTTTCTCCGGAATTTTCCGAAAATTTACTAGTATTTCCCTAAAAGGGCACAATCATTCGATGCGGGATTTCGGTCGAGCTTTTACGACCCCCCCCCCATGCTCGTACGATGGCTGACATGGCTGACTGTGGTTGTGGTTTATACTCGGCGAAAAAGTTGTCGAGCGGGGGGTATGTAGTAGGCATGCGACGTACATCGTACGGGCGTACATAGCGCTGTCAAACCGTTCTACGTAACGCGCGACTTATATTCGTCTCCAATTGAGAACGCAGAGACATAGAAATATGAACCTGTGGACAAGCTTTAGGAAGGACAACCCTATCCTACAACTAAGATGTTCCGCCTATCATACTTATTGTCAGACTAACCTCGCTTTCTGCTGTGTCGTAGTTTCATTTTCACTACATCAATTTATCATGAATTTGCAGAGAGGCGGAGTTACGGCACTCCACGGCGAGACACGGGAACGAGGCAGTGCTTCACTTATTTGCCACAGCTTTTCGCAGTAGTGACACCTGCACTTACGACCCCATCCAATGTACTACCCGCATGCAACATACGACCCCTTCGTCGCGCGTTCCGCGGAGCACTGACCCTGACTCCCCACCCCTGCCTCCCTTCAGTCACGTTTGCACTTGATAGACATTTTGACCAGGAAACAACCACCATTAAGCACGCTATAACAACCAGGAGTCTCGGTTTGACTTGAGGAGTGCATCCTCTACTAGCAAAGGGTCTGGAGTAAAAGCGCCAGTGATTAAGCCAATTAAAAACAAGCTTGAAACAAAATTGAATCTTCACTATCTCCTTCGGCACAATCACAGCCATCTTATTTGCCTTTGCTTAATTACGATTAGCGAAGTATCCACACCGTAAACATGAATCAGACGTGGATACGGTAGCGGCAATGAGTACGCAATTGCACGGCGTGATTGGTGGTATTTATAAATAACATCTGCTGTCTAAACGAAGCCGAGGTAACCTCTTTGAATAACTTTCCCGCGCGCACCTGTTTGAATCGGCGCCGAGGTGCGGGGAAGGGAATTCTGTGCAGGACCAACCGTGGGAAACAAATTTTCGGCAAGTAGGGTGTCTTTGAAGGACCATAACTTCCTCAAAAGCAGACCTATGGGGAAGGGGAAAGCGTATTCGTGTAGAGGAAGGTTTGATCTTCCTAAAAGTGCTAAAATCTTCATGAAGGTCGCAAAAATCACAGAGAAAATTGCCTTGGGGATTCGTTGGGGATTTTTTTTTATCTGGAAACAGCGTTTGAATCAATATATTTTTTTGTAACTCAATATTTCACAAATCTGAGAACGGATTCGAGTGTATGAAGACTTGCTCTTTCTAAAAACCTATTGAACTGTTTTGGAAGTCCTCGGGATTCATGAGATCTGGCGTTGGGGATTTGTTGGGGAGTACTACGAGCTCGTGAAAAACCCGTTTCCTGTGTACCGTTTCAAGTGAACGTGTTCGAATAACCAGGAACGCATGTAGAACGTATCCTGTGGTGGAGCAGGAGCAGAATATGGTTCGTTCAGAGCTGATCACGCCTCTGGATGCGCCGCGCACTGAGGTCCGCGCAGAAGTGATGGGATGGTGCAACTTGTGCATAAAGTGTGTCCACGCGCGCAAATGTGTCTGTAGGATTCAGGGAGGTCCATGGCGAACCTGTGCACTTGTCTACAGTGTTTTCCCTTGCGGATGATGTAGCGTGTCCGTGTCGACGCCGCCAGATCTGTGCTCCGATAGTTGCTGATTCCGATAAAGGAGACCAAGTGCTGGGAAAACGTCTGTACGAACGATATGGTAGTCCTGTCGTTTGTCGAAAAAAACAGGTTGGCTCAGCGCCAAGCGTGATCGCGGACACGCCCCATCATCCGCAGCAAACCAGAGTATGAGTTGTAGTGTTTAATCACTTACGAGATGTTGTCGACTTATTAATAATTCCAATTATTTCGGATTAGTTTGATGGATGAAAGTTTTGTACTCATTTTTTACATATCCGAGTTCTCTACGAAGCAAGTTCCGCTACACAGGATTCAGCACACTGACACCTTTGCGCTGCTCGATACTGGCTACCGCACTCATTACGACCCCCCCTATGGGGATTCCCCAACCAATGCTGTGCCCTGTTCCCAAAACTTCGCTGTCGGGTGGGGGAAGATGTGGGAAAATATAGTGCATGTGAAACGGGGAAAACCGCGAGACTGCAACAAGGAACTTATTTATTCCACGATCAAACTTAACAAACTCTCTGCCTGCGATAGTCCTTCTTAGTAAAGGTATGGCGGCGTAGTTTGGCGACGGGGGGGGGGCACTAGTTCCGGTATATGAGTATGTTAAATATGGGCACTCTTGTTTAGCTGAAGTAAGCTCGTAAAAGCCATCATGTTGAAACCTGTCAATTCGGAAGAGGCTTTAGATCGGACACGTCGTGAGAAGTAGCAAAAGTGCAAAATGTCCCCCTCCGTCGCGGAACTGCCCGAGAAGAATTTGTTTTTTCGTATGTTTCTACGAATGTTCGCCTTCTCTGGAATTTTCGGGATATGTGATAGTTGCTGTTAACAGGGCACAAAATTCTTTTACACTTCTTTTTTCTCTTTGTTTCTGCCCACTTCTCAAATTTCTGCTATGTTGTTGTCCAACTGTACACTTAGAGGTCATGCTCGTTTTTATAAAACATTTGTTGGGCTCTGCTCCGTAAGAAAACGAAATTCTGACGTATGTCTTACTAATCCATCATCTTGAAACAGTTGGCTCGATATCCTGAACGCCTACTCGCAGCCGTAAGATTAAAGAGCATGCATTCACCATCGAAGTCCTTCGAGTAGAACAAAAGCAGTCCTAGCTGGAATCCCCACGAAGGCGGGGACTTTTCGTTAGTTGGATTCACTGATGGATGGCGTCTAGTGCGCGGGTCGTATCGGTTCACTGCCGTATGGGTGATATGTCAGATCCCAGTGGGTGTTCCCTGATCGACTCCACCCATTTTATTTGGTCGATGAGACCAATATTTTTCATGTTGTTATTTAATTACAATTATTCCATTATTCTATTGCCCCCCTCCCCCGAACTGGGCCCTCTTGTGGAATTGGAACGTATCTGCCTACCCCGCGATCCCCTCTTGCTGCATAAAGTTACGTCGCTCGACCCGCAGTCAGCTTGGCAAAACCGCGACTGGTTACAGGAAGGTTCAACAGGAACCTTATTTATGGACGAAGCTCTTTATCGTGCAGAAACTAGTGAAAAGGCGCAGTTTGAATCTATCATATCAGTAAACGGGAACTCGTCCAAAGCGTGCCGTTCTTCATAATCAATTCAGAAGTCAGACTTTGAGGGCTGTGACTTTCTTGGATTCATACCATTCTCCTTCCTTCAAGCTGGTGCACTAAGGGAGTACCTTCACCTTCTTTCTCACTGTCATCATTTACATCTGAGCTGTCGTAACAACTGCATTCGACCTGGAAGTACTTCGACTCTTTGGACCTTTTCGGTCCTTCTGTGGCATTTTGTTTTCGTTGTTCTTGTTTGGTACTCAGTTCTCGAGGGATTTAAGAACTTCCTTGAATGCACACCCGTATCTCGAAGATCGGAAACGGGAGGCTGTGGCTTGCATCAGTAATGCAGCAGCAGCACCGCTTCTGTTGAATAATTTTTTGGGGAATTGATATTATGTCTTTGTCCAGCAGAAGAGAGGAAGACAGCTGTTTTGGGCGAAAATGTCTCACGAGAAATGCAACCATGTCATGTTGAAACGAAGTGCGCAGGCCACTCTCCCCATCTCCGGGACGAGAATGTATATTCCACACACAGTGTGAGTGGCTACTGGGCCTCCCCACTGGCGCGCTTGCAAGACTGTGACCCTACCATCCAGAAAGGTATGTGCTGCATAAGAATGACTAAGGCTCATGCTCTTCCCTGGCTCCGCCCATAGGAATAACGCGGAATACGCCGTCAAGGAACTTTAAAACCTGGTCAATTTTCTTGCGAAGAGTATTTAGACACCTTGCAGTCAAACTTCTCATTTTGGAAGCTTCGGAATAATTCAATAGGAGTAAGAGTATTTTCGGATACATAATATTCACAATAATTTTTGGAACCACTAGGATGGTCTTACACATGTTTCATTCATTTCAGGGTGTAATCGATGTTGGTTGTACTCGTGAGGTTCGTATCGGTGGCCTTCTGGTCCGATTGACGGGTGTGGCCGAGACTGGTTGGCGGAACAAAAACAGTGACCTATCGTACGAATCCCGACATAATTTCATGGACGAACTCATCGATCTGCGCTTCAGTTGATGGAATTTTTTTTCTTTGGATGAATATGCAAAATATGAAGAACATTACGATTCATTGCTATGAACATGCATATCACAAGTTTAGGATGATAGCAGATCATTGTACAGAAGAGTTCTACCTGCTGGAGGGGAGGCATTCAGTACCAGTTCTGAAGCTCGGCTTCCTCTGGACGTCCCTTTCGTCTGAAGTTCATCTCACTTTTTGTCATACGTCCAGTTGGCCGCGTCATATGTCGACGTTATCCTTATCATCACTCTTCGAGACTGGAGGTCGGTTGTGGTTACGAATCACTAATGTGACACTGCTTTTCTGGTGGCGATCTAGCTGTTTTCTGACAATTTAATTGCCTACGCTCTACCAAGCAAATAACTGTAAGTACGTCGTGTCCTCTGTTATGGATACAAGCCTGTGGCCGAGCATAACATGCGTAGCTTACAGTTATTTGCGGATTTTTTGGGGAGGGTCAAAAGCATGGGACATTTTTTAGCTCCTCATTGCTAAAGCTGCCATACCCCCTTGTCGGGACCTCGCGAAATTCTGCTCAAATTAGTAATAAGCATCCGAAGGCGCCGTCTACTATTTGACCAAGACGTGTACGATGGTCTCACCAGTGTCGAAGTGTACTAATGTCATCTGGAACCAGCATGGGAAATCTTTTTAAATGCTGGAGATCCCCTCGGTGAGCGCAAACAATACGCCCATGGAGTCTGAGAAGTCTTCCTCATTGCAGTCAGGCTGTTCAAGGTTAGCGCTTCGATTCCCGCAGTATTCTACCAGGATAATTCAGTATAGTCATCGCCATTTCTTGATTATGGCCTTTTCAAGCTTGTTCTAATCATAGTAGGCGCACTTTTATGGTCGCATTCTATTTTGAGAGCTGAAGTGGATGAGGTTGCATTTTCAGATAGCTCTACTTGAAGACAAATTGCACCCACAATTTCGTGGATTCTGGTCCTTACCTCGTGTAGGTGAAATGGATCCGAGCTGAAGTGTCGTGCCGATCTCCGATCAAAAAGGCACGGGAATGGGGCTGGAGTGTAATATACCCCTGGCGACACATATCCTGTCTCATCTTCAAGGCCAGCCAGGCGCCTATTCATGGAGCCTAGAATCCCAAATCGGCTCCTGCCCAGGCCAAGCAGGTGTTCCATTTGGACCGATGAGTTATCTCGTCATACTGGCATATAAAAGCATTGACTTGTACGTCGGTTGACCCGCACAAGCAATTATATGGACCACTTCGCGTTCATAAAATCACTACTGTATTTGAACGGTATGCGAACCAACTGCTAAAAAGGGACTGGTCAACGGCGGGAGCTTGACCCTCTTACCATTTTCATTTCTCTATTTTGATCGCGAGACTGTTTCAGATAGACCGTGACAACTACGGCTCAGTTCGTTACACGTGTAGTAACAAGCATTATGGCGATGTCCCGAGGAACGGGCGACATCGAAGATGGTAGGCAGGTAAGTCATCGAAACGTTAAGCCAGTTTCGCTGGAACGCTGGGTATGTCAGAGAGCGACCTGAAGGAAAAAAATTCAGCGACAAAAAAAAAAAAAAAAACAAAATAAAAGAACAAAAGCACAATTTAATCAACCATTCAATATAAGAGAAGAGAAAAGGCAAACAGAAAAAAACAAAATACAGTAAAAGAAAAAACGGAAACCAGAAGGGGGCCCACCCGGGGCGATACCATCGCCACGATCGCGGACGAATGGTATAGACGGGTTGAAGTGGAAGAGGGCCTGCCTCTGGCTGCCTTTCCTACCTAGTGATTGGTTCGTGATCAAACCACGGTGCTCACTCCACGCTTCTGAAACCGCCCCTACTGATTGTGACGATATCAAGTGTAAGTTCTTTCAGAGAAAACTTTCAAAGTATATCCCTACCTGAACCTGGACGCTCCATATATGCGAGATTCCACAGCGGCAACAGAGGAAGAACTGGTGAGGTTTATTTTAAATGTGTGAAATTGTGACAGAAAATATGTAGTCGTGTGGGTTCTACCTCAGGAGAAGCACGATCGCTTGAAGTTTGTTTTCACAGCGTCTTCATTGCGACTTTTACAGTTTCATTTATGTCAAAGATGTTTTTAATTGGAATTTTAAAGTATTATTACTTCTTTCTGCCATTCTTAGTTCAGTTTTTCTTATTATAGATTGTTGGATGCTGTGGCCGACAACGCGGAACCATTGTGGCCTCTATGAAAGTGCAAGAAGTCGGACTTCTACCTGGTCAGCATTTGGTTTCCTATATTTTCAATTTCTTCTTTGAGGATCCGACTTAGAACCTCTTTCTTATTGGTCTTGGAATAATTGCTTAGAGGAGCAGAGAGGATTTGAAATGTGGGGCGATTCGTGGCGGATATCCGAAAAGCAGTCACTAGGCACGGCTCTCCGTTATGTCAAGTGGTTCTTCCGCGGGTGGACTACCTGGACTTCGCCACGAATCGTTCCCCACGCATCTCTCTACCTCCTGAAGCTTTGCTGGAGAAACACTATTTTTGCTAGTCAAACTCATTACAGGTGAGACAACTCGGATTACTTTGACCGTGGAGGATCGAACGCGACGGAAACGTTGGCAACGGAAAGAAGGTTACCGGAAACATTTCTATGTTCTTTTGAAATTCTATTTACTGTTTCGTAGTACTCAAAAATCATTGAATTAGTGACCACAAGCTCCTACCGTACTTGTCCTGGCTGCACAGAGATAGAGGTTTGAAGAGGTTTTATTTGTGGCAAACCAGTGAGCAGGATGAAGCACGAACTAAAAAGGTTTTCACTGCACATGTTTCGCGGACGCATCGATCGAGAAGGTTACGCCAAGTGGTATCTGGCCTAAGAACGAGAAAGCT